GCTACAACCAATTAAAGATTGTTTGTCCTTTCTTGAATTTGGTTTAATGGAACCAAGCTACTGCATCTACTACGACTGTGACCAAGTCCTCCACAACGTCCACATTTCTCACAATTCCCATTTATGAAGCCCAACTTTAATTTCGCACCTAATGCTATTTTAATGGACCTGTTCCAGCTAAGATAGTTTTTACCTGTCAATGGTGAAGTTACAAGGATCATTCCTGGATGATCCGAACTCTGCAAATCCAATGGGTCTCTATTGGAATACTCATTTGCTGCTGCTCCCTGTTCAACTGTCGGAGGAATTTGTAGATCATCATTTTGATCGTTGTTGTTTTCCATCTTCTCGCCAATACATTTATCACTTCAAAAATTTATTGGTGCGAGATGATTTATGTCTCTGATACCATGATCAAAAACTAGAAGAAAGAATAAGGCGATATGTGCAGAAAACTTCATCTGCGTATTTTCTCTCCATTGTCTCATAAAGCAAAAGGAATCACAGTCCCAAATATATACAAGACAAAGCCAATAAAGAGATGACAGCTCACCTAACAAACTAATAGAAAATAAAGGAAGAGAACACGTGGAAAGAGAAATAAGATAAAAGTAAAATAAAATAAATGATAATTCAACAACCATCTTCCTCAATTTTAGTTATATGACGATCATGAGATTGTTCCTCCAACTTTGGCACAATAGCGCGGTATGCAAAATCGAGTAAATAAGCACAATTCATGAGCTGTATTTTGGGGAATTCTTCCACCATCTTGAATGGAGAGAGATCTTTGTTTGTCCAAGTAACATGGAAAGTAACCATTCATCCAGGGGCGAATCCAGCACCCGGCGAGCCGGGACGGCCGCCCGTGCTGGATCCGTCGAGAAAAAAGATTAGAGGAAGATTTTATATTAAATATATATAAATGTTAGTGCAAAAATCCAACAGGATAAGTTAGCTAGATAAAATGGCTAAGTGCTTACCTTGCCAATTGATCGGGGTTTGATTCCTTTTGCCAGCACTCTTTCTTTTAATCTTTTAATGCTTTGACAAATAATAAATAAATAAAACTTGTACCAATTTGTAACCAATAAATGATGTTTTTCAGCATAAATGTAACATAATTGCTATGTGGCTCAAATGGTTGAGTGCTCACTCTTCATGTGAGATGAAGGAGGTTCGATTCCTTTCATTTTCACTCTTTTTTTTTTTTTTT